ATTCTTACCTACCTCCCCAAATAAGCACTTGTGAGATCATGAGCTCAACGATAACTGAGTCCAGGAATCAATTTGCCCATAAGTCTACATAAAGATTGCAATAGCTATAGCACTGTGCGAAATTTGAGAATGACAATCTTCTTTTCACTCTTCAATTTTAGATAACAAAAATGGGATTTATTTCTATAAGTTTCTCTGGATTTGCCAATTTTTTAGGAGCATAAAAATGGGATTTAAGAAGCTCCTCAACTTCTAGCTGCGTATATAAGAAAAAAAATACTAAACAAATAAAGGGCGACTTACAGCAGATGCAGCTCACCAAAGAGTTGAAGGCCAAAATGCAAATCCATCCATCATACTACATGAATAACTTGCCACAGTTTTGACAAAAAAAAAAAAAAAAACTTGCCACAAAATCATGGCGCTTATTCCTCAATCCAAAAATATGTAGCTTTCTAGATGCATTTTTCCAAACCAGATAGAGAAAAATAAAAGATGCATTAGATTTTCCCTGGTTTATTATACAGGGAAATAACATTGAAAATCTAAGAGCAAATTTCACGTTACCCTCTTGTGGTTTAGTATTTTTTACATAACCCCCGTATAATTTCAAAACCTATACATAACTCCTTTATAATTTGGATTAAAGTGTCAAAGTGACGAAAATGATCATTCGTAACGGAGTCACCTAAAATGTAAAAAATATCCTTATGTAAAGTTAAAAATTATTTATTAATCAAGGGGGGTTATGTGTATATTAAATTATATTTTGAAAATTATAAGAGAGTTATATGAGAATGTATTAAATTATAAGGGGATTATATGTTAAACTATAAAAATCATACATGGTCAGTGTGTCATGTATTTATAAGCGTAATTTCGACATTTTTAGAAGTTCCGTTATGAATGACTATTTTCGTTATTTTAACACTTTAATCTAAACCATGATAAAGTTATATATAACTTTTGAAACCATAGAGATTATATAAAAAACTAAACCACAGGGGATAAAATATAATTTGCCCAAAATCTAAATCCTCTATATGATGATCCAATAGTTAAGTATCCTTCTATTTCTGTCCTAAAATATTTTAGTAACAAAAAATTAAATGGCGTTCTCGTCATTTTGCCCTCAACGAAAGCTATCCTCTTTCTTGATTTTTTCTTCAAATAAAACTGGATTGCCTAGAGGCTAGAACCCCTGCACCCTTCTCTCACTGGAAGTTCAAACTAGTTCATTTTGTGAGCAACATTACTGATTCACCACCAATTGGTATTTTTTCATGGTTCAAGGGAACCAAAAACGATACCAACTCCAAACCCGCGACCCAAAAATCCGAACCGGTTAAAACCCAATCCGCTTCTGAAGTTCCAGGCATGAACGGAGCAGTGGAGGTCCGACGGCAAGGCCCACCACCAGCTGATGTCACAGTTTTCGAATTCGGTTCCGTTGCCGCTTCTGCCGACAAGGTCACCCTCGCCGGCTTCTGCCCTGTTTCCGACGAGCTCGAACCCTGCCGCTGGGAGATTCTGCCGGCTAAAGGCTCCGACGCCCCTCAATTTCGCGTAGTCTTTTGACGGAAAAATAATTGGCGAAAAAGAAAGGGAGAATTTTCAGCTTAGCTTTTGAGGAAATGGTGAGGAGGATTAAATCCCAATCCTGAGTAGAGTTTCTTCAGTCTCATATGGGTTTTTATCTATGTTAAAAATACAAAAAAGCTTGTATCTTTTTTTCTCTTTCATTTTTGAAGTCCCTGTAATTTAGCTCTGTTTGACACTTTGATTAGAATATGATAAAGACCTTTACTGCACTTGTTTTTGGTTAGGTCCAAATTTGGGTACTATTGGCTTGAAAACATGAGGAGGAAGAGGAAAGAAGTTAATTTGTTGTGATAGATTGGTTATTGCGTTGTTGGATGATAGTTGCACATTTTCTCCTGTTTCCTGCAATTTGCTGTAGAATTATCATGGAAAAGGGAGCCCTTGAAGCCCTAATCAATGAAGGGTTCAGGTTTTTAGGCCAAATGTGAAGGGCATTTGGACTGACGTTTGTACAAAATGTACTAGTAGGTGTACACGAAAATACATTTCACGCATGAAGGCCTTCTATAGATAGCCGAACATTGTGCTTTCTTTGTCAAATAAGGTTCCAAGCATGCCCTGTTCTTGAAATTTTCCCTGTTATTAACTGGACTTGACAGAGTGGAGAAGCTGTAGATTTGTTGGAGTCCTTTTATCTTGTTTTACAATGTAAGAACTTGGCTTTTCTTGGCTTAAGAGTGTTGCAAGGAAGGATGAGATGGTGTGAGGGCTTTTATAGACTCTGTCTAGTAGTTTAGATCTGCTTTGTGTTTGGGGGGTGGAGGATATAACTATGTCTATGTCAATAAGGCTGAGCTTATATGAATTGGTGTACCATGTAGAGCATATATCAAGTCATGTTGAATATATCAAGGCAGAGAAAGATTTGAGCCTAAACTCTTCATGCTTTTTAAGGTGCTTTTACATTTGCTTGGTTTGTTTGTCAAATAAAATTGGTATTTGATTGAGTTAAAAAAGAAACTTAAATTTTCCCTATGCAGTTAAAAAAGATAGCTGCAAAGACGACATAAATGAGACATTAAATTAATTGACAAAGTGAAGGGCATAGAAATAAGCCACGTCATGATTGAGTGGTACAGCTATTCCAACAAATTTGTAATCCTTAATTGTAAAGAAAATTGATTATTTTTAATTCACTCCTCACCATTTTCTGCAATTTCTTTTTTTTTTTTTTTGCTAAATTTGCATGCTATTCATAGACCTCTTAAATCAATACAGGTCACATTTCTTTGATATTACAAATACTAATTGGTCAGCAGAAATTAGTTCCATAGAGTAAGGTTTTTATATCTTTCTAGTTGAACTTTTATTTCTTTTTGTGAATTTGAATTGAATAATGTGAGGCGTATTATTGAATTTGGAATATTTACATTTTTTTAAGTTTTATTGAGGTTAATAAAAAATGTAAATGATCTATACTGCTTAATTATCTTAGATTGTCTACTTAGTTGTCTATTGACATTCAATTGATAAAAATAGTTGGATTCTTTTATTTGTTCTTTTCTCTTAGTATTTCTTAATACCGATAAAAAGCACATAATTATATATCTGTCACATGATATTAATATCAAGATTCTTCAAATGAATATGGACTATTTTCTTCTTATATATTGCTCTTTTTTCCAAGAGCATCTATTTTTTTATATTAATATTTTTTACGATATCTAAATTGTGGCTAATGCAATTGGTCACATAATTTCAAGTAAGAAATTGTTTTGGATAAGAAACTTTGACACATATAAGAATTGAAGATGGAGTACAAGGGTCGCTAAATAGTTTTAATAGGGAGTTTTTTTCATTTTAATTACCATTATTATTGAGGTTTAATCATTTGAAATGTTTCCGTATTTTTAATTACTACCAGAATTAAAATGTAATAACTCAAATTGAAAGATGAGGGTGATATGGGTACAGCAAAAACTTAGATAAAAAAGTGCTTATAACATATGATGCCAATACTCATCGAACTTTTAATATAGTAACAGATAATAGATTGGTCCATGGAATCACTATCCAAAATCTGCTCTCTTATCGGGTAAGTTGATTAAGGTTTTGGATTTTTGGAGCTGCGCATTTTAAAGAAATCCCAAATGAAGAAGAGCAAAAGTTAAAAACAATCCCAAATGCATTGGAGAGCTTCAGAATTTAGAATATCTAGATATGGGTGATCCTATTGCCAGTTGGTTACCAATGGAAATCCCTTTATTTAAATCCTGATAATGGATGTTACTTATTAAAGTTCCATCTGAATCAAGAGGGGTAACAAACCATAATTGTTTCAACCATGATTATTTTCTTCTTTATGTTGGGGTAACACAGAAATTGAACTGGATTTTTTGAAGCACGGACTAGTTTTATTTTTTGAATTAAGCTGCTTCAAATTCCTGTTAGTTCTCACTTACAATATTCTATCTGGTGAAAATGAAAATTTATGCATGTCAAATATCATAAGCAACAATACTTGGCACCAGGTATGAGCAATGTCGCGCTGATACAGAATAACAGAGATTAATTGAGAAAGTGTATTCTTTCCTTCGAAAGCAGTCAAAGAGGATAACAGAAGAGTTGAAATAAGAATATTTAGGATACGAAGAATGAAGCCATCTTATTATTTCCCATAGGGGTAATTGACACCAAAAGTGGTGCTTCATCCTCAAATGATACTAATTTGCAGAATTGAAGAAAGAATACAACATTTCAAGTTGATTCTATCTACCCTACGGAATAGATTATTGCAGGAAGAAGGTAAATCATGAATAATTTTTGGCCAACATTTACTGGAGGGGTTATTAATAACACACAGTTGGCCTGATTTTCTGTAAGAAGAAAAATTCTTTCTCTCCCTTTAATTCCAACTTGTCTTGCGGCAAATGTTGTAAGCCGAAATAAGAATGCTGAAAAGACACAAAAGACAAATAACGTGATTCATTGCAAACTTGTCTTGCTTTCCTCATACTTTTGTAATAGTACAACATAGAAAGGCAGACTTGGCTCCAACATTCATCTCAATTTTGTTGATGCACATTCTACACTAAAAAAAAAATGTGCTTCTTTTCTTCGAGAGCCTTTGAAGGTGATATAGCTAAGACTTGACGTAAGAATAAAAAGGACAAGAAGAATAAAGCCATGTTTGTTCTTTCTTACTCGTAAGGGCTGATTTATTCCTAAAGTGGTGCTTCTGCTCTCACTATGATACTAATTTCCGGAAGTGAAGAAAGAATAAATCATTTCAACTTTCTTTCTACAAATTCCAAACCATGGGGAACAAGGAAGGTAGAAAACGAGCATTACTTCCGATGGAATCCACCAAGGTCTTCCTTCCTATATAATAAATCCTTCTCAGGCACCCAAAAAATATATGAAGTTAAAACCATTCTTCTACTCATAACCATATAAAAAGAAGCTAAAACCCTGCCTCCTTCTTCTTCTTCTTGAAAAAAAAAACTATAAAATGGCAGAAACTGTTGTCTCTTTTGTTTCAAATCGTCTCGCAACCTTACTCCAAGAGGAGGGAAGCCTGTTGGGAGGGCTTCGACAAGAGGTCCAACTCATCAAGGATGAGTTGGGGCATATGAAAGCTTTCCTCAAAGTGGCTGAAGCAAAAGAAGATGATGATCCTAGGTATGGGTGGCAAACCAATCCACCTAACTAAATTTACTCGTACCCGTCTATGAATAGATGGGTATGAGTATCTTAAATTTTTTTTATATGGACATAAATGGATTACCCAATAATACTCATTTATTAAATGGTATTATTGGGCAACCCATTAAACTCAATTAACTCATTTAGAATTCTCTTCTTCCAAGTCTCTTCTCTTCCTCCACCCCTTTTTTTTTTCAGATTTTTCATTTTGTCATGATGTTAACTACTTTTGTTTCATTGTTATTATTATTTGTTGGTTTATCTTATTATTTTATTTTCTCTTAATTTGTTAACTTACTCATTTTTTAGCTTTACCAATTTATGATAAGTTTTAACCTCTTTTCTTATCTTTCTAAAATGAAATTTTAAACTTATATATGTCAGGGGTTCAAAATTTTTGGATTGCATTTTTATAACACTTAGTATAAATTTTTATATTCTTACTATTCAATTATTAAATAATATGTAATTTTGCAACATAGAGTATCAATGGAAAAAAAATTGGTAATTAAACTTATCAAGCATTATAAGTAAATATTTAATACTAATGATGGGTACAAAGAGCGGTAAAAATTGATAACTTAGTTTGCAAAAAAAATTTAAATGAGTTTACAAAAAGTTAAAATAAATGGGTTATAAATGGATAATTGGATTATCCAATTCATTTTTTGACTTACCCATTTATACTTATCTAATTAAATGGGTATAAACGGATTGACTTACTTATACCCATTACCCATTTTATCCAATCCAAACACGTCCAAGTCACCCATTTTGACACCTCTAATCTCAGGCTCCAAGAATGGATCAAGCAAGTGAGCGAAGCTGCTTATGACATTGAAGATGTTCTCGATGAATTTGTACTTCGCTTTGCTGGCTACCGACATCATGGATTCTGTGGCTCTCTTCAGAGAATTCTCAAAGCCATTAAGAGCTTGCCAGCTCGTCATCAGGTTGCCAGTGAAATTCAAAGCATAAAGTCCAGGATCAAAAATATTTCAGAAGGATGTCGGAGATACCAAGTTGAATTTGGCATCGACCACCGTGTCACTGGATCTTCAACCATGAACGATTCATGGCGCTATAGCAGGGATGATGCACTTCTAGTGGAGGAAGCAAAATTGGTTGGCATTGACCGGCCCAAACAACATCTGATTTCTAAGCTTCTCGAGGGGCACGATCACCAACTCAAAGTTATTTCAGTGGTTGGTATGGCTGGACTAGGGAAAACTACCCTAGTCAAAAAGGTCCACGAAGATCCAGATGTTAGAAAGAATTTCCCAGTTCATGCCTGGGTAACCGTCTCTCAAACATGCGACTTTCCAAAGCTCCTGAGAGACTTGATTTGGCAGTTGCACAAGGAATTGAACAAATCAGTCCCACAATTCATCGAATCTATATCTACCGCCGAGCTGAAAGAATTTGTCAAAGATTTTCTTCAACAAGTTGGAAGGTATGCAATTGTCTTCGATGATGTGTGGGACGTGGAATTTTGGAATGAAATCAAATTTGCACTGCCTGAGGGTAACTACGGCAATCATGTCATGCTAACAACACGAAATGCCGATGTAGCCTCTGCCTCTTGCACAGAATCTCAGGATTATGTCCACAGAATGGAGGCACTATCAAATGAAGATTCGTGGACCCTATTTTGCAACAAGTTCTTTAAAGGAAATCGTTGCCCCGCCCACCTGATGGATGTTGCAAAAGCTGTATTGGATAAATGTGACGGTTTGCCTTTGGCGATTGTTGCGATTGGTGGGCTCTTAGCTTCAAAGGACGCGAGCAGAATAGATGAATGGGAGAAGATTCAACAGAGTCTTGGGGGTGAATTCACCGGTAAGCTAGAGAGAGTTAAAAGGATACTTTCTCTGAGTTACAATGATCTGCCTTCGCACCTCAAACCCTGTCTGTTGTATTTAACCATTTATCCGGAGGATTATCCAATAAACTGCCAGAGGCTGATTCTATTATGGATTGCTGAAAGATTTGTAGAATGGAGAGAAGGAATGAGTATTGAAGATGTAGCCTGGGGTTATCTCAGTGAACTCGTCAATAGAAGCCTAATTCAAGTAACTGAAATGTTATATGAAGGAACACCTTACACGTGTCGAATCCATGACTTAGCGAGAGAAGTTATTCTCATCAAGTCAAGGAAACAAAACATGGTGACAGTTACTACTGGACAACCAATGACGTGGCCATCTGAGAAGGTACGCCGTCTAGCAATCCATGGTAGTAGTAACACTAGCAACATCCAATACCACCAACAAAGACAATTTTTTTTCCTTTGAACACCTTCGATCATTCATCACAGTTAGTTCCACCAACCCATTACTATCCAAAACGTTCTTATGCGAAGTTCTAAGGAGTAGCAAGTTGCTAAAGGTTTTGGAATTGGTAGGTCAAGAGATAGAGGAAACACCAAATGAGATTTTCAGCTTGTTGCATCTCACATATCTGAGCCTATATGGTACAAAAGTGGCAAGAGTCCCGAGAGCAATTGGAAAGCTTCAACATTTGGAGCATCTGAATTTGGGGAACACTGGAGTTAGGGAATTACCCATGGAAATCCTAAAGCTGCTAAAGCTTCGGCATCTCAGAGTATATCAACAAGTTGATCCCTCAGATAGTGATTATGGATTTCATGGGTTTAAAGGTCCGTCAAAATTGGGAGGGCTTCTGGCTCTACAAAGGTTAAACACCATAGATGCAAGCAGCGGGTCTGTAATAGTTAAAGAGATAGGAAAATTGACCCAATTAAGCGAGTTACATATTACACAGTTGAGAAGAGAAGATGGAAAGGAGCTCTGCTCCTCCCTTGTCAACCTCACCAGCCTTCGGCAATTAAGTGTTGCTTCAGTTGGAAAAGGTGATGATTCTGAGATAATCGATCTAAATCCTCATCAACATTCTCTTTCTTCTTCTTCTTCTTGTTCGTTTCTTCAATCTCTTCGTGTGCTAATTATGTGTGGCCGCTTAGAAACGATGCCAGTATGGATAACTCATCTTCAAAACTTGGTAAAAATACTTATGAACTGGAGCGGGTTAAGGGCTGAGGAGGATCCGCTTGAATCCCTCCAACATTTGCCCAATTTGGGTGAAATTGGTTTCTCGGGATCTTACCAGGGAGAAAGGTTGTGTTTCAAGGCTGGAGGGTTCCTAAAGCTGAAACGGTTGTGGTTAAGGAGAATGGAAGGGTTGAGATGGATGACAGTGAAGGGTTAAGCATCCTGTGGCTTTCCTTTCTCTTCTTCTTCTGTTTTTCTGAGAAGTGAAGTTTCTGATGTTTTCTATCTTCTCCACTACGTGCAGTATGGTGCTTTGCATCATCATCTTGTTCATATGCTGCATTTTATTAATGTATTTTTTTAAACTGTTTTTCTTTAATTTTAACTTCAGCAAATGAAGCATTCTTACCTACCTCCCCAAATAAGCGCTTGTGAGATCATGAGCTCAATTTGTCCATAAGTCTACATAAAGATTGCAATGCATATAGCATTGTGCCAAATTTGAAATGACGATCTTCTTTTCACTCTTCAATTTTAGATAACAAAAGGGTCTTATCCCAATCTGTTAAGCAATATGGTATGAGTTGGTTATATGCTTCCACGTACGTACGTAAGGTGTAAATTACAATTCGATTATATTACTTCATCTACACCCATCCATTTATAAGTGAATTTGTATGCGCAATGAATTTTAAATAGGTTTATAGGTTTAGATGGGTAACTCGATCAAACAATAAACTCTAATTCATGGCATATACATCAAACATAATCATATTTCAGAACAGAACAGACACTATGTTTAGGTGTTAGTCATTTTATTAAACAGAACAGAAGAAAAGAGCGGACTGGAGTGCCTGAAGTTTTTCTCAAGTGCGTAAACAATAACCAGATAGACAAGGATGGAGTAGATCAGATATGAGTAGTAAATAATTCATAAACATAATGGTTTAAAGATGTCAAAACATCGCATATAAATGAATATGTCCTCTATTCTCTAACTTCATACAGGAAGTTTTTCTATCAAAAAATCTCTACATTTTTTCTGAAGACATTCTCCAATCACCTTTTTATTTTATATTTATCAAATCGTTACAATATATTTTTTTTTTACAAAAACTGCATATTTTTCTTTTCATATGATTATGTTTGACGTATATGCCATGAATTGCACTTATTTAGTTCCCGTCACAAGCAAAACTGGTAGCATCTAAATTAACCAAATTTTATTTCTATGAATATATATGGACTATAGATAAAATAATAATGCATGGCAAGTGCCTTAATCCTTGCTATTTTATTTGTCAAATCATCATTTATTTCCCCTAGACTCATAAAGTCCAATATTAAACCGATGACTTATATATTGCTGGAATCGCACATAACATTTTGTGAATGATACTCCTTAATAGGGCTGCAAACGAACCGAGTAGAGTCGAGTTTTGACCTACTCAAGCCGAGCCTTAACTTAATTTTGTCGAACTCGAACTCGAACTCGAGCTTGACGAACTGACAATTTTGAAGTTCGAGCTCGAGCTCGACGAGATTCGAGCCGAGCTCAAGCTTGAAAAAATTGTCAGCTCGTCGAGTTCGAGCTTGAATCGAATCGAAAAAATAAAAATAATTATTTTATTTTTTAAAAAATAAATAAAATAATATTTTTTCTTAATAAATAATAAAATATTAAAGATATTTATGTAATTTTACTATTAATATATATATATATATATATATATATACTTGAGCTCGCGAGTCAGTTCAATATTTTGAGCTCGAGTTCAAACTTGACTTTGACTCGACTAGCTCGAATCAAGCTTGAATCGAGCCATTCGTAAGTTTCGTTTGCACCCCTACTCCTTAGTGATTTGTGCAATGATATCTAATTCGGGTTGGTTATCACGAAACTGATAACCAATATGAGTATGTAATTCTCCCATAGGAACTTCACCAACAAATTTTCTTAACCCTTCAAAAAAAAAACCATTTTCACCAATAATAATAATAACAAGAACAACAATAATAATGTTTGGCTATTAGATAATGTTCTGATTTAGTGAGAGAAAAATCCAGAATAAATTCTATCCTAATGTGTGGTTGTTGAAGACTAGTAAGTAGTAATCAAATGCTTAGTGGCCCTAGGTGAAATCATTAAAGTGCTTAACAGGGCAAAACCTGTGTTCATCATCATCATTGCAAATTGTCCCTATTTTCATCAGACTGAAAACACATAATATGGTAGAGATAGTTGCCTCGGCAAAATCTTGAGTACATAAGCAGGAATAATTAGAGTAAAACTTTCCACTTAAGTAACCAGACTTTTTCCTTAACCTCCTATCGAAGTTACAATGATTTGCCAATTTTTTAGGAGCATAATAATAGGATTTAAGAAGCTCGTTAACTTCTAGCTGCGTATATGAGAAAAAAATACTAAACAAATAAAGGGCGACTTACAGGCTACAGCAGGTGCAGCTCACCAAAGAGTTGAAGGCCAAAATGCAAATCCATCCATCATACTACATGAATAACTTGCCATAGAACCATGATGTTTATTCCTCAATCCAAAAATGTGTAGCTTTCTAGATGCATTTTTCCATACCAGATAGAGAAAAATAAAAGATGCATCAGATTTTCCTTGGTTTATTATACGTGGAAATAACATTAAAAATCTAACGGCAAATTCCACGTTATCCTCCTGTGATTTAGTATTTTTTACATAACTCCCATATAATTTCAAAACCTATATATAATTCCTTTATGATTTGAATTAAAATGTCAAAGTGATAAAAATAATCATTCGTAATGAAGCCACCTAAAATGTAAAAAATACCCTTATGTAAAGTTAAAAATTATTTATTAATTAAGGGGGGCTATGTATATATTCTGAAAATTATAAGGGAGATATATGATAAAGTATTAAACCATAAGGAGATTATATGTTAAAATATAAAAATCATACATGATTAGTGTGCCATATATTTATAAGCATAATTTCGACATTTTCAGAAGTTCCGTTATGAATGACTATTTCCGTCACTTTGACACTTTAATCTAAACCATGAAAAATGTATATATAACTTCTGAAACCATACGGGGTTATGTAAAAATCTAAACCACAGGGGTAAAATGTAATTTGTCCAAAATCTAAATACTCTCTATATGATGATCCAATAGTTAAATATCCTTCTATTTCTGTCCTAAAATATTTTAGTAACAAAAAATTAAATGGCGTTCTCGTCATTTTGCCCTCAACGAATGCTATCCTCTTTCTTGATTTCTTCCTCAAATAAAACTGGATTGCCTAGAACCCCTCCACCCTTTCTCTCACTGGAAGTTCTAACTAGTTCATTTTGTGAGCAACATTACTGATTCACCACCAATGGGTATTTTTTCATGGTTCAAGGGAACCAAAAACGATACCAACTCCAAACCCGCGACCCAAAAATCCGAACCGGTGAAAACCCAATCCGCTTCTGAAGGGTGAAAACCCAATCCGCTTCTGAAGTTCCAGGCATGAACGGAGCAGTGGAGGTCCGACGGCCCGGGCCACCACCAGCTGATATCACAGTTTTCGAATTCGGTTCCGTTGCCGCTTCTGCCGATAAGGTCACCCTCGCCGGCTTCTGCCCTGTTTCCGACGAGCTCGAACCTTGCCGCTGGGAGATTCTGCCGGCTCAAGGCTCCGACGCCCCTCAATTTCGCGTAGTCTTTTGACGGAAAATTAATTGGCGAAAAAGAAAGGGAGAATTTTCAGCTTAGCTTTTGAGGAAATGGTGAGGAGGATTAAATCCCAATCCTGAGTAGAGTTTCTTCAGTCTCATATGGGTTTTTATCTATGTTAAAAATACAAAAAAGCTTGTATCTTTTTTTCTCTTTCATTTTTTAAGTTTCTCTGTAATTTAGCTCTGTTTGACACTTTGATTAGAATATGATAAAGACCTTTACTGCACTTGTTTTTCCCTTTTTTTTTTGGTTAGGTCCAAATTTGGGTACTATTGGCTTGAAAACATGAGAAGGAAGAGGAAAGAAGTTAATTTGTTAATTTGTCAGGTTGTGATAGATTGGTTATTGCGTTGTTGGATGATAGATGCACATTGTCTTCTGTTTCCTGCAATTTGCTGTAGAATTATTATGGAAAAGGGCGCCCTAGAAGCCCTAATCAATAAAGGGTTCAGGTTTTTAGGCCAAATGTGAAGGGCATTTGGACTGACGTTTGTACAAAATGTACCAGTATGTGTACACGAAAATACATTTCACGCATGAAGGTCTTCTATAGATAGCCGAACATTGTGCTTTCTTTGTCAAATAAGGTTCGAGCATGCCCTGTTCTTGAAATTTTCCCTGTTATTAACTGGACTTGACAGAGTGGAGAAGCTGTAGATTTGTTGGAGTCCTTTTATCTTGTTTTACAATGTAAGAACTTGGCTTTTCTTTGCTTAAGAGTGTTTCAAGGAAGGATGAGATGGTGTGAGGGCTTTTATAGACTCTCTGTCTAGTAGTTTAGATCTGCTCTGTGTTTGTGTCTGTGATTGCGCTGGCAGGGTTGCGAGGGGGATGGAGGATGGGGAGTGTATGTGT